CGGTGCTGAGATTGGGACCTACTGCACGATGGCGATCTGTGCCGTGAGTGGGAGCGCTGGCGGGATCTGGATTGATGCCACGAGTCAAACCGGCACCACGAGTGCAACCGGCACCAGGACTCCAAGTGGTGCTGGGACTCCGAGCGGTACCTCCCCTCCGCAGGCTGAGTCGAAGGGCGGATCATCGCTGGCTTTCCCCGGGACGGCGCCGCCCGTGGCGGTATCAGAGGCTTAATGCAAAGGGCTGGGGACCTCAGTGCCATCATCGCAATGAGGTCCCTGACGGCCTCAAAGGTGTCTGGGGTGGAAGGCAGTTCTACCTCCTCCACCACCAAACCCGGGGAGTCCAACTGCACCGGACTCGATGGTCCCCCTTGTGGGGCTGAAGTCAGCGGTGCAGGCTCCAAAAGTTTTGGTGCTGGGGTTCCTCCCTGAGATGAGCCCCGTTGGCCGGCTCCGATGGGGTGGGTCCTGAAGTGGGGGAGCCACTTCTCCCTTGCTTCCAGTGCTGCTTCTGCGCCGGTGAATGGGATCGGTGCCGGGCCGGTCCCGCCATCTTCGGTGCCAGGGAGTGATGGTGCCACGGGTCTCTGACAAGGGGAGAAACAGGCTACTTGACCCCAGTTCATCTCTCACCAAAGCAGATGTCTGCACCAGGGGCCCACTGCAGGCAGCTTGAGCCTTCTTGTCTTTGGGCTATCTGGGAAAGCTTAGCCTTCAGACCAAGTTAGGGCAGAAGCTTACACGTGACATTCTCAATAGAACACAAAATAGTTTCTGAAGAAGCTAGTTTGGGAGAAGCGTGATGACTCTGTATAGTCTGAAACTCCCATAACAGTAATACCTCTTTGTTTCTAGTAGGCCCCCCCCTTCTTCCTTATCATTGGAGCAGTTTAAGGGTTATACAGCTTTAATTACGCCACTATTGTTAAAGTGGTTTCCCCCCTAGAGCGGACGCACTGATACTAGTACAGATGTATTTCTACTGATGTTGCTTATTCCGCTTTCTGCACAAGAATAACTATATTGCTGTAAAGCACTTTTTATGCCTGTATAACTGCATCCACAGTAGGGATTGGAGTAGTGTAACTATTTTGGTTTAAAAAAAAACAAACCAGCCCCTAACCAACCTAGTTATAGCAGTACAAAAATCTCTGTATACACCAGGCCCTTATAATAGAATTATAGTTTGGTCCATGAGCCTGAACATGGAATGGCAAGTGGACACAGAAGAGGGTGGTGGAAGAGAGTGGGCATGCTGCCAAGTCTCTCTTTTTTTTTTTTTTTTTTATTATTGGAAGACAGAAGAAGGGGAGAGGGAAGTCTGGTTTCCAGCTCCACTTTGTTACACAGAGAATATTATTTGGTTGAAAAGCTGATAGCATATTTCATTTTATGAGGCTTGAGGATCTCTCTCTTAGGAGTATGGATTCAATACAATTTAATGAGAGTACTCCATCCTGGATTGTTTTTGATGGCTTGCATGGTATTTCAAAATGGCAATTTTGTAGCATCTCCTAACTTCTCTCCCCTCCCTGCACCCCCCCCCCTTTTTTTTTCTGGACAGTGTTTTCAGCTCAGGCTTTTACATCTTCCACAGATTTTCTGTTCTTCCCTCTTCTACAGGTTGTTTTGGTCTCCATGTCTAGTTGTGCACTGTTTTCATAGACTTTGGGCCTCTCAAATGCTTCATCATCCTCACTGTCAATGTTATCTGAGGTGCTTGCCCCTTTGCTGATAACATATATCACATTACTGCTTCTTTATGGTTTCTTGCAATCTTTTGTTATTTTCATTAATGAGCGAGCCGAGGCGAACAGACACTGTTCTGACAACTTGGCATCCTTTATATTTTCAACTATCCTGTCTCTCATTCTTTTTAAGGTCCTATATTTGTTCAACAAGACACAATTGCAGTTTTAAAAGCCTGAGCTGGAGGCTTATTCCCGGAACCACCATTTAAATTTGCCCTTCCATTGTATAATATTGTACCCTTATGAAATAGGGATGGACCACTGTCATCTAGTCTCCCCCCCCCCCCCCTTGAGTTGAAGGACATCTAGAATATCACCTGCAACAACATCACCCATGCAAATATCAGGGCATGTACCTGGTATTGTGGTTTGTCTATTAAATTGACAGGCAGCTGGAATGTCAAATCTGCAGTTCTATCTGCCAAAATTTCTAAATCCTGGTCCTCTCTGGGAACTGACTGACCAATAACTCTCCACTGTGATGCCTGAACAACTCCTATGCTGGAGGGTCCTGCAGGAGGGCACAGAACTACTATAGCCAAGACCAGGTCTACACGACAAACTTTTGCCACCATGGCTGTGATTTATGACTGACATAGCTGAGCCACCAAAAGCCCCTGCTTTGATGCAGTTATTTCAGCAAAACTGAGCTCTTGCTGGGTAGCTTATTTTGCTCAAGATGGCTGGAAAAGGCTACACCCCAAAAGAGCAGTTTTGCCTGTATAAGCTGCCTCCACACTGGCAAAGCCTACGTATAGCCCTGGAGCAAGTCTCTGTGTGTGGTGGGGTGGCAGAGCCACTCCAGAGGAGGAAAGTGAACCAGCCCCAGGTGCTCAGGGTTGAGGAGGAAAGCCAGCCTAGGGTTCACCTCAGTCAGCTCCATCTGTGCTGAGATTTAACATGTTAGCCAACACGTTTTAAAAAATATATCTGTTGCCCTACTGTAGCCTTTAGACAGCTGCAGCTCTAAGAACCTGACGCCAGCCATCCAATTACAAGTGCTCTATATTGGTTTCAGGGTGTTTTTTGTTTCTGAGGGTGGTTTGTTGTAAGCATGTTATCTTCTGCCCTGGACCCACCTCAGTCCCCAAACTTTGCCTTTGTGGTAAGAGGTTCCACTGCTGTGTTTTGCATACAATAAAAGGGACTTCATAAAGAATCAATAATTATTTTGCCATATATAAAGTTGATCTCTACCCCGGTCTAGAGCAGGGATCTCAAACTCGAATGACCACAAGGGCCATATGAGGACTAGTACATTGGGCCGAGGGCCACATCACTGCAACCCGTCCCCCCGGCCCCCACTCCACCCCTTCCATGAGGGCGCGCCCCTATTCCAATCCCTTCCCCCAAATCCCCGCCCCTGCCCCAGCTCTTCTCCGCCCCCTACCCTGAGCGCACAGCTCCCCACTCCTCTCCCCACCCTCCTGGAAAGGAAGCACCTGGAGGTAGGCAGAGGAGGGGGGATGTGGCGCGCTGGGGGGGGGGAGGGGAGCTTGGTGACTGCAGGAAATAACTCAGGGGGTGCAGGGAGCTTGCCGGGCTGCAGCTAATAACTCTGCGGGTGGCATGTTTGAGACCCCTGGTCTAGAGCATGGGATGTAGAGAGGAAACGGAAAGCGTATCCGGTTGTATGGAATTGGTGGACTAATGCTGGATATTGGATGGGCCAGACATGGAAAGTATATTATGGCCTAGGACCTGAAACACAAGGGGAGGAGAGGCTCTGATCAATACTTTAGCTTCTAAATGGAAAGGTGTGGGTGGTAGGATTTTTGGCTCCTAGCTGAAATTGAGGGAGTCAAAGTTGGTATATATTTCCAGACTTTTTGTTTAATGGGAAAGTGGTTTAAAAACCTTTATTTCCAGATTATGATTTTTTTAAAACCTTAATTTGCTAATTTAAAAAATAAGTAGTTATTTGACTAGGTTTTAAGATTAAATATTTACATAGTTGTTGTCTGGTACTTTCATTTGAGAGTTCTCCCTCCTCCTTGTAAATAATCTTGATGTTCAAGAGTTGTGTAATGTAGTGAGTAACATATTGGTCAGTTAATTTTGATGCACTAGCTTTCACTGATGCAGAGTGAATGCAGTAAGATTAGAGTCCTAGCCCAAACAGATTGGAAGACTTTTCTAAAAGTGCATTTTTGTGTTTAGGGTCACACATCTCTCTGAAATGACCATCACAGACTTTGCAAAAAAAATTCTGTTTTAGCAGACCACTACCATGTGCCAAATTCCAGAAAAGAAGTCTTTTTTTTTTTTTTTTTGGCCTGGAAAGTAGGGAGAAGTGTCCAAAATAGGCCTCAATGGAAAGTTTCATACTCAACTACTGTATTGAGAAGTTATTGCAACTCCATAAGTGTTCTTCATACCACCAAAGGACAATATGTAAACAATCCCTGAAACAGTGATTAATATTTAGTATAGTCACTAATTATACTTAAAAATATCACAATTAAGCCAAAACGCTTTTCCATTGTTTTACTGAAACTGAAAAAGTATTCTGTACCAAAATGTACACAATTTAGTAATAATACAAAATGTTAATTCTGCAAGACAGAACGTCAGTTACATTCACCAAAATGAACTCTGAACCACCATTTATTGCCAGCTCAGTGTTACTTTAAATAATAAATCATTGGTTGAACATAGAAACAAAGCAGTTTCAACTCTGCATAAATAAGAAACTACTGATAATACTTCAGAAAGATAAACATTCATGATATTTACATGCTACCACAGCATACCCTAGCATGTAGTATGTCTTCTGGCTTGAATGATAGCTTTATCAATACATTAATATTAGAGTTGATGTTCTACAAAATCAGTCCCTCACCAGTTATACCAAGCTTGCACATTAGGAGAACAGCATTCCCTCTTTCATCCCCACCCCCGAAATGCCTCTGTATCCCTAGAAAAAGACCAACCTGCTGACACCATCCTTCTAGTAAGAAGGAATGTTCAAATCCATTTATAGTTTTCTTTCAGTGACTGGACAGGATAACTATTTAGCATAGCAACTGATACTTGTTTTCTCAGTAGTAAGTCAAACCAAAATAAACCTACCTAATATTTCCTGCATAATATTAAGAAACACCCTACGTTATCTCACTGGTCCAAATACAGTATTTTAATGGACAGTTACATTTCTTGTTAATTTTTCTAGTAACATCATTTCAATGGACCCTTGTAAGTTTTCGTAAGATGGATAAACTGGATTTTTCAGAAGATAAATTATAGTTTTGTTTTTTTTTCCACAAAAGAAAACATAAAAAGAATCAAACATAAAAACCAACTGGAACATTAAAGACACTTGATTTTTCTGGCTTTATTACATCTCCAAGTTAAGCAGAGGTCAAACACCTATCCCTGGGAAAGAAGTGTCAAACACCAAAAATTATTAATGTGCAAACGCACTGTACTTTAAAAAGATGAGATTTTAAAAGTGTAAACATCTGTTGATTCATTCACTTGAATCCCTTGCTACTTACAGAAAGAGTTATGTAAAAAACTGTATTAATGTGATCAAAGCTCTAACCTGCCTGATGTGTAATCGTTTCTATGTCTGTATCATGAAAGTTTTAGAAAGTCATGATACAGTACTTCTCTCTGAACAAAATGCCCAGACAGTTGAACGCAGTGGTTTCATACCCCTATTAAAGAATGTCAAACATTTCTGCACGTTGTAGCAACAGATTTTCCTTAAAGGAAAAAATGATTCAACTCAGGGAGCTAATAGTTAAGTGGAACAGCAGCAAGTGAAGTACTATAAATAGATCGTTTCTACAGATTAATGTGAGACTCAATAAAATTATCTCATAACCCAAGACCTAAGCTTAAAACTTGAACAAACAAAATTAAAATCAGGAGTTCATGGAAGCAATTAGGCTGCTATTACTTTATATTTAAAACCTACTTTTTTAACCAGAAAACAAAAATCACAAGGAACATTACATACAAACCAATTTTAGCCAAATCATTTTTTTAAACATACAACAAATTACACTACAGAACTTGTTTTCCATCTCAATCATAACTGGGAGTTCACTAGTCAAAATACCCTCAATCCTTAATGACATAAAGCTGACCCTTCAGAAGAGCATGCGCAGAGTAAGAGAAATATCAAAAACTCGCTAAAGCCATGTTCAAGACATCTGGGATCTCCATAAAGGAAGTAATTTTTAGCTGCTGAAGAAAGTCAGTCATAAGGAGGAGTTTCACTGATCACAAGTCTGCTGATCTTCTCAATTATTTTCCACAAAAATCCTTGTACTGAAGACTGCCTTCTAAAATTCATAAATATATATTATTCTTTACTCCTGGTCAGTTGCTATGGCAATGGTTCACTTCAACGCACCTCTGATGTTCAAGCTGCTTTCTTGATGCAGGTTCCTTGAAGATCTTGTAGATTTATTTTTGACCTAACAAAAATAGTAAGATAAGCCTTTTGGAGTCAGCACTCTCTCTGTAGCTTTAACTGTTTCATGTACCATTATTACATATTGTGCTGTATTTGGGACAGAGGAAGACACAGAATAGTACTAAGCTTTGCATTTCTTACCTATTGTGAATCATGTGGCTTTTGACTAGATGTCCAGCTGCCAGTGCTGCCATTAATGATAATTCCCCTGCCATTACTGTAGCACATACAATTTTAGCAAGCTGACGTGCATTTTCACCAGGATTGTCTTGACTTGCACCCTGGACCCCTAACATCTGTAGACAAAAATATTCAACATCCACTTTAAAACCAAGCGCTGGTAAAGGTAAATTTGTGTTCAGTTTGAGTTATTTAATTGTCCTTACTAAATTACGTGAAACAAACCAGCTTTTAAGTCCCTCAGACATTAAAAAGTAGCATTTAACGTAAATTCGATGCATGAATACTCTTCGTCTAGTTCAGTGGTTCTTAACGTGGCGCCCGCCAGGGCATTTATGTGCGCCTGCCTACTGACAAGGGAGCGCTTCCGCTGGACCACCCATCGCCGAGCAGTGCGGCCGCCGGACAACCAGCCGCCGAAATGCGGCAAAGCCAAGAAGCATTGCTGCCGAAATGCCGCTGCTTCTCGGTGGCATTTCGGCGGTGACGCTTCTTGATGACGCCGGTTCTCAGCAGCATTTCGGCGGCTGGTTGTCCGGCTCCCACCACACTCTTCTGGGAACATGAATATGCTATTGCAACAGAAAGGTTGGGGACCACTGGTCTAGTTAGTCATATCTTAAAGCCTACTAAAGTTTGAAAAAATCTTGCAGTATTACTTAGACACACAGTATACAATAGAACCAGGAGGAGTTTTGATTTAAAGGGATGTTATTTTAATTTTCTTTGATGCTTTGTACCTGCAAACAGGCTTGCTGTGGTAGCAAGTTGGTCCCTCCACCAACTGTTCCAATTTCTATAGAGGGCATTGTGCAGCTGATATACAGATCTTTATTTGTGGGACCTGTTGACTCCATCAGAGTGATGCAGTTAGAGCTGCCCACATTCTGTGCTGCATCCTTAAAGTCAGAATAAAAACGTTTAGTTCAACTATCTTAAGAATATATTTAAAAAACCAAAACCCAATAGTGCTGTGAATTGGCTGAACTTACCTGTCCACAAGCAATGTAGATAGCTGTGACAATGTTTGCTGCGTGGGCGTTATAGCCACCTATGCTACCAGCCATCGCAGAGCCCACCAAATTTTTGTTTATATTCACCTCAACCATAGCTTCTGTAGTAGTCTTCAATACCTAGACAAAGCCATATGCTTTTATTATACTTCTCATTAGACAGCAGTAGTAATCCCATGTTGTATAGTATTAGCACTCAGACTGTGATTCCATGGCTGAGGAACTTGCTGCAGAACAGTTCTCTAAAAAGTAGACTTTCATTTAAAAGAAAATTTAAGTTCTTATAGTTGCTAAAATTTTCCAAATATAAACACAATGCAAACCAATGCAGAGATATTTGCCTGAGTCTGCAGATAAGCCTGAAATAAATACTTCTAAGAGATGTGGTGAACCACCCCATTTATTTCAATGGAATGTTGACATTAAATCTGAAACTTAAGGATGACAATATAAAAATAGTTTGGCAGAAAAAGCCTGTTAATGAGCTATGATAGTACCAAACTGCCTCCAAGGTAACTCCAAATAGCAAAAACCCTCAATTGTCCTCATCCCAGCTTGCCACAATCTCTAGCTTCCCCCAATGACTTCTACAATGTAGTTATATATTTTTAATACAAAATTCTGCAGTACAACTGCAGAATTCTGCAGTACAACAAATTTCTGGGTCACTAAAAAATTAAATATCAAATTAAGTCACAAGAAATACTACTGATTGCATTACTCATTTTTACATATTTAATTCAATCAAAACCTCTTTACATGAAAGTCCCAAAGAATTTCCAGTCTTGTGCACTGTGAGGTGTAGCAGAACCCAGGCTAACTGCTGCAGATTAATTTGCCATGGAGTATCCAAGGGACCAGTTACAAAGGTTATTAAAACTGAACTGAATATCAGGTAAATTACTTAAGTGTCAGATCTATTAGACTGTGCAATAGTCTTTCAAAAGAAGGGGTGGAAGACCCACCACTTCAGACATTTTAAACCAGACAGCACAAAAGTATATTGAATGAAAAATCCTCTACTAGTAAGTCGCTTTTATCTATAACTTCCATGATCCTACAATAATGCTCAAAGTGAAGAGTCATCATTATGTACAATTTATAAATTTCAATTTCAAGTTAAATTTTTATAAAAGGGATTAGTATGGTTAGACAAAAGTGCTTTTTTCCCCAAGATGAATCAAAGCGGTACTTACTTCTCTGACCACCTTGGCTGGAATGACTGCTTCGCAGACAACAGACTTCCCTCTGCCTTCTATCCAATTTATGGCAGCAGGCTTTTTGTCTGTACAATAGTTACCACTAATAGCTAGAACCTGGAGATCAGGAAACTCTTCTTGCAGTCTCGCAAGTGCCTTTTCGGTACCCTGACAGAAGCAGATATAAATGAAGCTTAACTTCTCATGAGGATTGTATTATAAACCACTGGAGAACTTAACTAATATGTGACTAACCATCACAGAGACGGTAAGACATCAGGGCTAGACTGAACCTTTGGGCTCAGCCCCTGTGCAAGGAAAGCATATCGCTGGAGCAGCAATGGGAAGGAATTGTTCCTCACAGAGGAACCTGGACTCCCCTTTTGGGTAAGATGGTGCTGGTGGATAGGGATAATATAATGATTGCTCTGCCCCCATCTCACTCAATTGTTCGTAGAGGAAATAATGAATTTACAAGCCTTTGCTCCTCCCCACCATGCATGGGGGCTCATCCTGGGGCTGCACAGGTGGGTGGAGGCTCTGCCTCCTCTAACTCCAGAGTGGCTACATAGGACCAGAGAACACTGGCACTTATCAAGGTATGCACACAACATGGGTCTTAAGACTCTGGGATCAATTCTTCCCTTTATTCTGGATTGGGGGAAGAAGGAGAGCCTGAGTTGCATGAACAGATTTTTTTTTTTCTTTTTAAATATAGTCATTTTAACCCTCCGGTCTTCATTGCTTAGGTACTACTCTTGATTATGGTCAAAGACACAAAACGAAACCATTACAGTTTACCATTTTATATCACTAGAGAGAGACACAGCCTGCCCTCAGTAAATTGCCTAAGGTAAATAAAACAAGCAAAGGTAAAAAAATCAAGTTCATATGGGAAGATGGCCAATAAGAATGAAATTGAAGTAGGATTAATAATCACTTTAATTTCTCACTCATGTAAACCTGTTTTGCCTATTTTAAATTTAAGCATTTAAGGGACAGAAAGTAAATTTTACTCTCAATGGACTATAAACCCTAACACAGGACTCTGATTCTGGATGGCCCTTATACAAGCCCCAGAAAAAGAAAGGGGGAGAAGTTGAAGGGAGGGAAGTGGGGAGTCCTGTGTCCTTGCTTCCACTCCCTGTATAGTCATGTAAGACCGGACAAACTAACTCAGAGTTAATTTAGTGACATGCTTTAACTAGTGGTTCCCCCCCCCCCAAAAAAATGCTAAGTAGAAACAGACTGGATCTTACTTTTGAGATCATGTTCATTCCCATTGCATCCCCTGTTTCAGACTGAAAACGGATATAAAGGTTACGACCAGCCAGACTGATGTGAAGCTTTTGCAGACGAGCAAACCTGTAAATAAAAGAGAATCAACTGACTACTTACAATTCTTTCTCTCTCCCTTAGCTCGCTGAAGACTACAGGCTGCTTTTCAGCTACAAATGACAGTAAGCCATTAGTTCTGGATAACCCTGTTAAGCACCATGCACAATGTGGGCTCCTCCTCCTGCTCTATGCGCAAAATTAAATCAGCACAAAGTCCTCTGACAGCTGATCCAAGACAAATGTTTAAGAAAATTTACTGCTCCTGAAAGTAACTGTACTGGTTTGCCTAATTTTTCTAGCCATGCAATTTGTGAAATACAAGATCTTAGTGTTGTAGTTACCTAATTTCAAACAATTCCCTCCCTCCATCCCTGACAAAAAAAATTCTGTGTTACTAAATATTAACTACTAAGAGAAGGAGATTTGGCAATTCTTAAGTCAGTTATATACAGAAACAGTGTCTAGAGCAGTGATAGTAAAGGCATGTCCCACAAACCAATTCTATTGCTATGCAGTAAGCAAGAACAAACTAACTTGAAGATATTGCCCATTATTCAACAGCAGGAAGGATGGCTCTATACCATGGTATCAAGCCTTGCTGGAATATGCTCATGCGTACTACTGACCTCCACCTGCTTTTGTGGAACATGACTCTGCTAACCAATACCGAAAAATCGGTCTTTGATTTTTCCAGAGTTAATATACAACAGCAAATACTTGGGAGGGATGGGGATAAGAGAAGTTATGACATTCATGCTCTAAATCATGTTACTTTTAATACTGTTATGCTTCTCCCCACCCTGTCAGTTCTGGCATTATAGGGTCAATATTCTCTTTAGCCTCTAGAATTAGAGAAGAACATGTTAGATCATTTGAAAGATTAGATGGTGGTGTACAACATTGGTTCTAATTCTACAAGTGCAGGATAACAACCACTAAAATCAAGTCAGAACTGAAGTGTGAGAGTGTTTTTGGAGGTAGTAACAAGTATGAATGGTAATCAGAATAATACCATTTTAACTTCCTTTTTCTTCCTGTGATTGAATTCCGTATTTTCCTAGGGGATATAACATTTGTTTGCAGCCCTAATGGTTAACCAGATATTGGACATGAATAATGTTGTTGATTACTTAGACCAAAGTTATTTGGATCCCTGAATCTAGTATCATGTAATTTCTTGCATCGTAGTACACCTAAACATGGGAGATTTCTATATTTCATTATAGATTTACATTAGTAAATACTTTACAGAAAGCCATGTTACTAACCTACTTGTGCTGTCAAATGCATCTTTGACTATTTTAAACCCTTCAGAGTTTTCAAGCCAAGCCTTCACTTCTGCAGCCTGGCAGGCAGAGGGTAATCTTACAACTGGTCCTCGAGTCATCCCATCTGCTAGAATACGGCTATTGGCTCCTCCACCAAGCTAAAACCAAAGGGGAAAATGAATAACATTACTGGGAATTATTGGTAATTTGTAATAACGTTAATTAAATAGATACCTATCTTACACAATTCAACTCATTTTGTATTAAGTGATGGGCTCTTAATCAAGGCAAGGAGCTAACCCTCCAAGAATTAATTTTACTTACACGTATTGCTCTGCACCCTCTGTTTGTGCTTGCTACCAGACAGCCTTCTGTTGTTGCCATTGGAACTTGAAACTCTTTGCTATCCAGGAAAAGTGGCCCAGCTACACCTACAGGGATGGGCATGTATCCAATCACATTTTCACAGCAAGCTCCCATTACCTTAAAAAAAAATGTTAGATTTAACAGTCATTAAAGATATGGCATGGCGATAGCATGTTGAGAAATTGATAACAAATAGCCATCAACAAATAAAATAAATAAAAATTAGCCTACTTTACCAACTGACTCATCAATAAAATACAACATTTTTACACTGCAATGTTTTATACGGCACAAAGTTTGGAAGTATTTAGTAAAGCTTGACAGTAATCTTCTGAAGTTCACTGAAGGGTTTAATCATTGAAGTAATGTATAGTAACAGATAAAACTGCAGAAAGAATTTTTTTTATATATTAGTGAATGCTATGTGCTTGTATCTATTAGGAGAGTTACTGTACAAAGTGAAAACTGTATTAAACTAACAATCTGGATTTTGAATAACTTTCCCTTTATTATGACTCAACTCACGTTTTCACTCATCCCAGTAAACTCAGCTGTGGTATTATCAAAGCCCTAAATTTACTGAGATTAGGGAACTGTATACATTAATACATAATTGTCCTTTTTGATCATGCTACAAAACTGATCTGGAGTCTTAAGTTTTCATTTAAAAAAATTAAGTATCCAATACTTATGTCTGTGAGAACTTTCAGATGTGAACTGAATGAATACCTATGCAGTCTGTGTTTGTATGAAGACAGGTTGAAACTATAATTGACAGCTCTGTCTTAATTCCTTGGAAGTGGAGCACATGAATTATAATTTTGAGAAGAATTTGGGGAAAACACACAAAAGGAGTTACCTTAAAATTTAAAAATTAATTCACTCTTGCTTGTCTCCATTATACTTACCAAAGAATAATTGTAATGCCTGTAAGGAAGATATTGTAGGGCTGAAGGTTCAGGGAGCTTCTGAGATAACATCTGTCTGCGAATAGATACACCACGTTCCTGAGATTCCATCAAAGTTTCCAATTTGTAAGCAGGAATATGCTTAGCACTGACTAGGTTGATAACTTCTGCATCAGTGAGGAATTTTGCACCTCTCTAGAAATTAAAAAAAAAAAAAAAAAAAAATTGTGTTAGTACCAACTGTAGTACAACTTTTAATGTTTCCAGTAATATTTAATGTTTCCAGTATGGTAAAGGATACTCTTTACTTCTGCAAATCATACCTAAAGAATCTGTTTCATTATCAACATCAGTAAACTGCAGCATACAAAGAAAATCATTCTAAATGAATTACTGGTCTGTGTCGATCATGAATCCATATAAACCAAAAGCAAAGGAAACTAACAAACCTCGCCCAGATACCCCAGCTGCAACTTAAACTTATAAAATGTTGTGAGATTCAGAGTGAGGCTTTTACTCATTGTAATGTATTGTAGTACATGCTTACCATCAAATAACCTGCAATACCTAGCCAAACTAAAGAGTTATGTATAGACTAAAAGTTCTATTACGAAATTTCATTGCTTTTCCAGAGTGAAGGTAGACTCTTACTTTAAACACTACAGGACAGATCCTCAGGTAGCATTAATTACATAGCTCCACTGAAGTCAAATGCCAGCTGAGGATCTGGCTCTGTGTATCGAACTATCCAAAGAAGACAGATTATGTACAAGCTTATAAATGGACATTTTTCTGTAAAGTACAAATTGGGGGAAAGGGGGAAGTCTGATGTTTTGTAGCAGTGGTCCCCAAACTGTGGGGAGTGCCCCCCCCCCCAGTGGGAGGGGAGCACAGTGGGGCCCGAGCCACCCCCCACAGCAGGTGGGGAGGGAGTGCCACTCAGCCCCGCTTTGCCCCCATCTCTGCTCCGGCCCTGCCTCTGCTCCCGCCCCAGCCCCGCCCCCAACCTAGGCCCTTGCGGCTTTGGCACCAGCCTCAGCCCCCTTACCTCTGTCCGCACCTCCCTTCTTTCCCCGCCCTCCCCCAGGTCCCAGCTCCTGACCGCAGCTCCCATGGGGGAGATGCAGATGGGTTGGAGGGGGAAGAGGAACGTGAAAAGCTTGGGACCACTGGTCTGGAGGGAGCACAATACTCTGTCTCATGGGGAATCAGAATCAGTAGCCACACAACCTCGGAGATTTCAGAGAGCTTGGGAGCTGAGGGTGAATAAAACTGAGCACCTGATGTTGTTCTCAACCAGCCACCTTTAATAGATGTATGGACTAACACTCTAGTTTTTCATGAGCGGGAAAGCTACTATGATATGGAATTTTTTGGGGGGAGATATGGTAACAAATCTTTTGTTTACAAAAATGGGCAAAAACTGAATTTTTGGCTGCATGCATTCAAGAATCAGAACATATACAAATAATTGAAAAGCAGGAATTGACTGCTCCAGAAATGATCTCTAAAGTGCATTTTGCAATGGGTGTATACTAAGAGTGTAAGCCATACTATTTACACGTACATTCAATTGTAAGAGCAATGCAATCAATTGAAGAATGTATTCACAAACATGGTTTCACTGTGAAGTTTTAAAATACTGCTTATAATTTTTTGGTCTTGAACTTCTCAGCAGAACTGGAAACCTTATAGTTCTCTTTTCTTACCTCTGCATTTCCAAGTATACATAAACATTCTTCAGTGGAGCGTGGCTCTTTGGGCAATTCAATTTCAGGCTCCTTTCTATTAAGGAGAGAAGAAGTTTCCATAGGGATGCAACTACCAACCACAAATGTAGCCTTGGCTGATGGCTCTGCTAATGCAGGTTTTATTACTTCAACTGCATAAAGACAAATTAAAATTGGAATTTAGATTACAAAAATCTCAACAGACTACAGTTTTTTGGTTGCAAAATAGCCCCAGCATTGGATCCTTCAGTACCTAAGATGCCCAAAGCATATATATTACCTTTTCTCTCTCTGGAAATTACAGCCTCTTCTACTGTGCTGGATTTCTGATGATTTTTTACAAGTACAGATTGTTTTCTGCAGCAGTTATCAGGAATCTTTTTCTGAACTATCAAGGGAGAGGTTATGGGGTTCTTCAGTGAGAGCGTGGACTCCGTCTCTGTCTGTTCAAAGAAGATGTATTTCACAGCAAGAAGAAGAGCTAAACCAAGAGTGATTACTTGCTCAATGTCCAAACTGGCCATTCTGAAGGAGGATCAAACAAGAAGTAAATGTAAATGTGTTTTGAGTGTATAAAAAACATTTGTATATCACTATAAACTCACACACTGCTTTAACAAACAAGCAAGACATGCAAGCTAATACCTAACAAGAAAATGCTACAAAGCTAACCTGCAATGTTTATATAATCTCGTGTATATAGCTACATTTTATAAAATGTATCACTGGGGCATCCATTTGCTTTAACAAGAGCAATATGTTGATCATAATTTATACAGTTGTTAGAACTCTACCCCCTTTATAACACATTATTGAAGTACGCTACTTTAGAAAAGAAACAGCACGGCAGTTCAGCATGTTTGAAGAACAGCAGTGACACCTAAAACTTCTCTCACTAAATATTTACTAAACCACAGTAAACAGCAATTCCTATGTTGAAACCCTAGCAAAGAGAAATATAATACTAAATCACTCAGAAGGCATGTGCCATTCAACATCTAAATCAACTGATTTAACAGTTATCTCCTGGTAAATGTAGTGTGGTTCAAATATCATATCTTGCCATCCGAGGCAATTATTATAGTGGATACAGAAATTAAGCTGCTTAAATAGGTAAGGAATCAAGAGATTTAGAGGCTGATTTTCAGAGGTGATAGGAATCCATGGCTCCCACTGACTTTAATTGAGTTGTAGGTTGTCAGAACCTCTGACAATCAAGTCCATAGTACCTTAACGTTAGAAAAAAATTGATCACAAGGAGAGAGAACAGTGACAAGGACTTTTTCTCCAAGTCCTTGGGGATGGGTGGTGCATGTGTGGGAGAAGCTGTGCACATGTTCCCAGAGTAAAGGGAAGCTGATTTGAACACCTGACTAGACTACATCAATTACCATTAAATTGACTATGGAATGCCATGTCACACAAGGATCTCCATATGTAGGGAATCCTACAGTGGCCAGAGCAGATGGGTTTATGGTTGCTTTGCAAAGTACTTTGCCTTACAAAGTAACCTGAAAGCACCAGAGAATAAGCCTCAGTCAGTGGTAGATGCAACACAATATTTAGAAGGACCAAGATATTCACCCACCTAGAAAGATAAAATTGCCATAGAGAAACATTAGGTTCAATTCTCTTTGGTGCATTTTCATCCATTCCCACTGAATTTTCTGCTGTACTGTTTTGAGCAGATGGTTCTGCTATCCAGCGACTGTGAGCATGAACAAGAACCAGACCTAGAGACTTAAAAAGGAGAGAGAGAAAAGTGAAACCTGTTTCCAGCTGTAACTAGCCACCAAATCTAGTAACAATTTAAAAAAAATTTTTTTTTTCTTTTTTTACTTTCCCATGCCCTCCTAGGTTTAAAACTAAAGGCTGGTGTTGACAACAGGCAGGGAATATAACTTTACAGTAACTGAGAAATATTTATGCATACATTTAATTATATGGTTGCTTTTCTCTAAAGAAAGGGAAAAACCCCACATACCATAATCATTTTAACCCTCTGAGTTACAGGGTTTGGTTTGTTTTCTTCTTCTTCTAAAACACGGGCAAAATGACTAAGTTGCCATATGGGACGCCCCTCACGACTTTCACGAGAAAGCTACAAGGAAAAACAAAAGACCCTGTTCAGTGCATATATTTGAAGAAACAGAGAAGCAAGCAAACTTTTTACTATTATGTCACTAGAGAATTTGATTACTAAGGCTCTGTCAACACAAGAAAGTTGTACCAGTTTAATCTAAGTCAGTTTTTAAACCAGTGCAACTACCTATGTGGGCACTTTCTTTTTGGTTTAAAACTGGCTTGTTTTGGCTTAGTTTACAATGACTTCAACTTAACCTAAACCACAATAAGAGTGTCCATACAGCCTTTTGCACCAATTTAACTAAATCATTTACAAATCACACCTTTAGTGAAACTGGTTGAACTTTCTCCTGTACGCAAGCCTGTAGTTACATTTGATCCACTTAATACCACACTGAAGACTCAGTGGCAATACAGGAACCAAAGAGAAAATTTAAGACCCAAGCAGGAGGCTCTCAGCCCAAAATGTTCAAACTTCTGTGTCTAAAGTTAAGCCCTTAAGTCCATAAAATAAATAAGGCCTTGGTTCACAAAAGCCTCCTCATTCAGGAAAATATTTAAGCATGTGCTTTCCTGAATTGGGGCCTGGAACTGGCTCAATTTTCAGAGAAGCTGAGCATCCACAAATCTCACTGAAGTCTATCTGAGCAAGAGTGAGAGCTGCCCAGCAGTTCTGAAGAGAACAAAACAAACTCCATGCCACTTAGGCGCTTAAATACAAATGCAGGAGTGTAACATTAGGCAACAAATTTTGACTATTTAAGTCATAGTGCCTGTAAATCAAATATCCAGAAATCAAGATTAACACTGATTCAGATCTCAAAATAGGATCCCAAGCGTTTCCGAGCATAAGATTGTGCCTGAACATTATACTGAAAGTTAAAGGGCATCATATAAACGGGAATGTTAACCTTTCGAATTAATTACTGGAACTGTAGTACAAGAAACTATGTAATTTTTTGCTCTATTCTGCTCCAAAATTAGTTGTAAAAGGGGATATTACCCAGGACATAACTTCTCTCTGTTTTTATGAAATAATTTAATTCCTCCAAGCACACAATTCATTCATGTTCATTAGAGGTATACGTATGTATACAGGGGATATACAATAACCTTATTTGTTTAGAAGCTATTGCAGAAGAATAAAGTTGAACACACACAAAAAACAACTGCAAGTTTTAAATATTGATAATTGGATTATATACTATTATTATTTTCAACATCTAAAAACTACTGTACGTGACATATGATTTTGTTCCAGATATACCACAACCAGGGGTGAAAGTAACTTAAAGGCCTTACCGGTACGCCGGAGTCCATAGTGGGGCGTGGCCTCAACCGGAAGAGGCGGGGCCTTTCAAGATTTAAAATTGCCTGGGTACCCTGGGGTAGTGGCGGCAGGGCTCCGGCGGTGATTCAAAGGGCCCGGGGCTCCGGCCGCTGAGGGCGGAGATTTAAAGGGCACAGTGCTTCTGCCACTGTGGGGAGCCCATAGCCCTTTAAATCGCCTCTGGAGCTCTGCCGCCGCTGGGGTAGCGGCGGCAGGGCTCCGGCCACTGCGGGGAGTCCCAGGTCCTTTAAATCCCCGCCGGAGCCTGGCTGCCTGGGCCCTGGGGCTCCAGCAGCCAGGCTCGGGCGGGGATTTAAAGGGCCCAGTGCTCCTGCCACTGCGGGGAGCCCCAGGCCCTTTAAAGCGCTGCCAGAGCTCTTGGACCTTTAAATCCCCACCCAAGCCCGGCTGCCGGAGCTCCGGCGGTGATTTAAAGGGCCTGGGACTCCCCACAGCGGCTGGCGCGCTGGGCCCTTTAAATCACCGCCGGAGAAGCTGGTCCAGCTTACTTTCACCTCTGACTACAACCATGCAAATTATAACTTTGATTATGACTCCTCTTGAACAAAGAAATAAATGTATAATAGGATATAAATTGTGAAGGCTAAACTTGGGTGCCATATTAAATTGTTATCTCTCATTTTAAATTAATAGCTATACAAAGAAAAACAGGACACCAGCATTAGGCCAACGTGCTGTTATACTACTGATGCCATCTTGAAACTGGTCTTACCTCTAATACCAAGGAGACACATGCTGGAAAGAAAGTCAGGAAGACAAAGTAGTTGGCAAGAACAGACATGCAGCCAAAGCAGCACATGATTTCAAGCTGTCGCACTCCTACATTAAAAAGAGGCAAAAACATTCTTACGTTTTGTGCTTACATCTTACACAATGTGCTGTCTTTATGCTGAAAACGTATCACAATGGTAGCACAACAACATTAAACTGACTTTGTACATCATAAAAGGACTGACTATCCCATCCCTAGATTGCGAAAAGTGAACACATTAAGCAAGGGTGATCTTGCATTTGTATTTCAACATAAATACATTAAATATTTATAGTGTACTGATGCTGAAATACAAATGCAAGATTAGGATCTACACTGTAAGTTGTACCTTGAAGAATAATACTGTCATCTTATTTAAAGTGTAAATTACCATTAGTATTTTAAAGCTCTCAATGAAGGACTGGTTCTAAGTTTGCAGGCTTCAGATTGTGACTCCTCATTCATCTGTCTACCAGAATTTGATTTTAAAGTAAACTTTAATCCGTGATATTTGGGCAGAGGTAGTCAGTCATGTATTGAAGGAGTCAGGCAAAGTATTGATCTGTGGCTACTCTCTTGTAAGCATTGCACATATGAGCAGTTACTGATCTTCCTTCTGAACTTCGCTTTATAACTAAAAAAAGTTTCAAAGCGATATTAAAGGTTATGAATATTTTCAGAATTAGTCTGCCCCATGAGCATTTCTGTAATTAGAAGAGAACTGAAGTTTTCATTAGGTAGCTTTTCCAAAGGTATATTTAAATCACACTGAGCTGAAACTTAGAACTAGGGGGTTGAGGTGGGCAGTTTTAAATATGCTTTCAAGGTTAAAGATGACAGGACATGAAGAAGAGCTCTGTGTAAGCTCAAAACCGTGTCTCTCTCAGCAACAGAAGTTGGTCCAATAAAAGATATTACCTCACCCACCTGGTCTCGGGGGGGGTGGGGGGAGGAGAGAAGTAGTCTTGTGCACTTTTCTGATGTACAAAAGTAGACGGAAAGGTTTTTCCAACCCATCCCACCAAAATTGTTTTTACATTAGAAATTCAGATCTGTCTAGCCTAGAAGACTCTGTGAGGGCTGGAGAGCTAATGAAATGATGTCATCAACAATGGTAGGAATGAAACCTGAAAAACTGAGGGGAAGGAATTTTTAGTGAGACTGTTTAAACAATGTTTTTGTTAACATAAACTACTAACATTTTGGACAACAGACATCCAAGTTACAGATTCATAATCTTAACTTCTTTGATTAAGATAAGAGAGCTAAAAGCATAAATCCTCTGAAATATCCAGTAAGTCCCACAGCAAAACCATGAAAGACCAAGTGAACACGCCTGATGTTTCTAAAGGTAAACAAGCAGGGAAGAAAGACCTTAAAAACAAACAAACAAACACACACAGTTTCAGGCCCTATTCATACATCACAAAGAAGCACAAAAGTGTTCAAACCCATTTAAAAAAAATAAATAAATAAAAGAGAGAGGGAGATTCCTTTGCAGGGCATCTTTAAAGTTCTGTGAGTGGCAGTCAATGCCAGTGAGTAAGACAGCTAAATTTTAAAAACTGAAAAATTGCATTTAGCCCTTATTGTGGATTTATGACTTGCAGTTTGTTTATTTTAAAAACAGCTGAATTATTTACATCTGAAAAGCTCTTACTTTTTATGCTTAGTAGCTACATTTCCTAAAACAAAAATCTTCTATAGTGCCAATGAAGATAAAAATCATAGAAAAGAAAAATATAAGAAGTTTCTTTGCCTGTTTGTAGTTAAAACAGACTAGTAATCCCTAGCATGTAATTCATTTTAGAAACATTAGTTCTTACAACAATAAGGAGGCAAGTCATTGTTATTTCATACATCTGTACTGAAAGTGTAATGGATTAAAGAAGTTCCGCTATAGTGGGAGATTTCAGTTCATCCCAAAATAGTAAGGGAATAGCGTACAAAATAAGACGCCAACCCTGTAAAGTGATCTGTGCAAGAGAGCCTTGCACCCATGCAGTGTCCTACAAGAATTCAATGGAAATCTGCATTTTCCTTCATGTCATCAGCACCTGCAATACTATTCACATCTGTTTTAAGATAACAAAAAGCAAGTAAATTCAAAATATAGGCAATGACTAGATCTCCCTAATTGTGCAAAGACACTGAAATACGACCAGTAAGAACATCTATTGTTTGAGGACCAGGAGATAATTGACACCTTAGCTGTGAATTCTTTCTTTTTTTAGCTTGAGATAACTAGACTCTTGACTATATTACTCACCTGACATAGTACCAACACCAATCACAAGACACTCAACAAGGGCATCAAGCGTAAATGTAGGACCTAGAATTGCCATTCCCCGTGAAATATTTTCTCTTACTTCATCCTAAAAAACACAGGAATTTCCCTCAGTTAAAATAAAGGCAAAATACAAACAGTGATGTGTTTGCAAAGTTACACCAATAGACAGCTCTCTGACAGAGAATGGGATGAATCACATCAACTTTTGATTTGTGTTGAGGAAGTGAACTGTAGACCACGGTGATCAAGCAAAAAGGTGGGATTCAGATAAAATGTGAAAAAGGCAGGCACATCAAGTCAAGCAGACTCGTTGTTCTTAACATTTCTCACCCAACCCCTCACAACATGATAAAAGAGCCGATAGGTCCCAGGGTAGGTATAGGCGCTCCCATAAAAAAGAGCTTAAATCATGATTAATAAAGTGAGGATTAAAAAGGTTTAACACCTTGATTATATAAATGCATATTGTATGTGAATATATGGCCTAATACAGACATGTGGGTTCATTTCTCAAATTCTCCTAAGGCTGATTTTGTTCTTTAATCATTTAATTACTTCAAGATGTTAACCTTTAATAATAATTTTTATTGTTTCACCATTTATGTAATCTGATTAATGACTGTACAGCTCTCCATCCTTAGCTGAGAGTTATTCTAAATTTCTTTAATTGAGATAGACTTTTGATAATATTTATTAAAGAGACTAGGACACAAAGTTTTGTTAAGATAAAAATCAGTGAACACTTAAAGTCTATGCATGAGTCTACTTGACTTCTGATTCTTTTAAAGCAGTTTAGTAGTTTTTAAATAGTTTAATGGCTGTACTTTCTATACTAAAACCTAGAATATTGCAGATCAAAGCTATGTCACTAACACATCTTTCCTTTTTGTCCGACTACTTGTATAATCAACTTTTTAAAAAGCAACTCATGTCTCAATAATAAAAAGACAATTCTACTGGGGTATGTTTGTATGCAGATATATCCCCATTATAAAAAAATAATAATTTATATACTCAGGACATTTAAAAAAAAAAATAAATGAAACTACAGTACACCCTCGCTATAATGCCGTACACAATAACAAACCTCTCCCAAGGCTGGAGGAGCTGTCACCTCCCCACCCCCACCCCTGCGGGGCCAAAGGAGCTGTCAGCTCCCACTGCCGGGCTCGAGGTGTCAACTGCCCCCTCCCCCAGGCAGAGCTCTTTCACTATAATGAACCCCTGGCTGTAATGAACAAATGGATCCCCAGAGGTTCATTACAGACAGCGTGTACTGTAGTTAGGGACAAATAGGAGCCTTCCTTCCTCCACAAGAAGCATTAAATCTAGATTCTTAGATTTAAAAAATCTCAATATCCAAAAGCCTGAACTTCATTAAAATGCTGTATCATTTACAGGGCATTAGCATTAACAGGCTGTAAAAACTAGGGTTGAGGGATTTAATTAGCTGTTTGACAAAGCTTAAACAGATTTACTATAATGGAATCAGAATCACAACAGTAGTCTCAGACCTGTTTATGGAATAAGATGAAAGTTCGATGAAATAGAGCAGAGATCTGGCAACTGAAAATCACTAACATGCCTGAGAGAACTGACTAAGGATTTACTAATTTTTTATTTTTTAAACATGTAAACTCCTATCTTAAAAACTCCAGAAACCTATTCTGCACTAATTGCATGTAGGACACTCCAAGTAGTGAGAAATCCTTGTGGAACTTAGGCCATCTACTGTACTCATAGTTAGTATTATATCTTGTTTAGCTATTCATGGTGCTCGATGGACATTCTTACGTTTTCATATCTTCGAAAAAAGCAAAGATTCTTGACACAGTTCAAATCCAGGAGATGGGAGGGGACACTGATTTGGACTTGCACAAATATTAGATATGGAGTTCCAAAACAGATGCCTCACAGTGCCTGGATGCTAACAAAAATCCTATTTCATGCTCTGCAATACCAATGTACATTTTACACTTTATTTTATTAAGTTTGTTCAGATGACTGTACCTGTGTACTTCCATTCTTTTTACTATTTTAATCTTACTTAAAAATTTCCTGGATACTTTTTATTATATTCTTTAGACCACTACAACATTTTTCCTTTAGTTGGTGGCACTTTACAATCTTAACTTCATTCTAATGAAGCTTTTGTCTGGGAACTGTAGACTCACTAAACAGCATTGCTAATATTGTTTCCACTACAGTCCCCCGGCCTGATCCTGTAAGCACACTGATGCACATGAGTAACTTTACTCACCTGACTAATTCAACTGACTTCAATAAAACTATTCACTTGAGTGTTTGTAGGATTATGTAGGAACACTTGACATAGCATTACTATGTATATTTTTGTTCATGTATATATGTCTCATGAGACATTAATACTCAGATGTTAAATTCAATAGCTACATTATAAAAAGCAAGGCTGACCTGTGAGTTGGAACTGAGTGCAAATTTGGCTAATGCACTGGCTCTGGAAAGGTCAATCAGAAGCAGGAAAAATGGTAACGCTTCACTGAAACAAGAGACATAGAGGAACACATTAATGATCCAATAACATTAGGTTTAAAAAACCAAACTTGTGCATTATACACAATGGAAAAATCAAACTTTTTTTTGAAGCAGTAGCTAATCATGTTAATCTATCCATTATAGATCTTTACATAATTTAGACCAGAATGAGCCACACTTTATATTAGAATTAAAAAATGATTTAACATATGCACAAGGATTTCAAGCCACTTAAATTTTTAAAAACCTGAAAATATGCAATACTTACTTCAAGCCTGTCAATTCTTTATCTAGGAAGTGAATCACCACTGTACTGAAAACAAAACTTGAGAAGATTGTGAAGAGGCCAGCAATACCTTAAAAAAATTGTAAGAGTTGCATTTTTAGATCATTCCAGACTAAAATAAGAAGGCACTGAAACCCAAACATTTTACAAACTAACTTTCTCCTTCTTCCAAAGGACCTTTTTCATATGATTTTACACTCTAATGTTCTCTTTTGCAGCAATAAACAAGTATCTCTGACTCAAGTGTTTAACTGCTACACTAGCCAAGAGGGACTTTTCAATACTGTGCTCCAATTTAATCTCTGTTTGGGAGGGATGGGTTTAGTTCAGATTATATATTTTACTAAAGAGGCCAGAAATCCCACTTAAAACCAGTGGCTGAATATGATGAAGGGAGAGGACATTTCCAACCCTATCATTTATGAATGATCATGGTAAAATATTTATTTTTCTGTTATTAGAAAGTAAGCCCCAGGCAGCATGACAAATGCATGCTTATTGTGCACATGTAAAATACAGAATTAAAATTGTTAATGAATATGTTTAGCTTTGCTTCAGCTTTTCAGATTGTTATTTTCTTCGGATAAGCTTTCACTGTTAATACTATGGGTTTGTCTTTTCAAAAAGATGTTTCAAGTCCTAGGATTTAGCCCTGGACCACATTTTAATCTAATTTCTGATTTCCACTATTCCTCAATCACTGAAATAATGTTTGAAGATAATTGTGAAATTGGAAGTTTAAATTCCTTCTGAATTAACACATAAGCCAAAAGAGCTTTAAAATACAAATTTAAATTGTTAACCATCATTTCCAGATTGAATTAAATATAGCTTGTTTTTAATTAACTAACTACAGAGTTAAGAAATTACCAAGGGGATAAACGTATAAACAAAATCCAGTTTTAAAACTCCACTTATGGTTGTATGATGGGGGCAGAAAAGACAATGGGTGGGGGCTGAAGTTCAGTCTAAGGGAAATGTATTTGCCTTTGGCTAGTTTCAGTACACACTAGTCTTTTTGGCCCTTTAATAAGAATATTTAAAAGAACATGCTCTTTGGAGAAGTTCCTCCATTTTCTTCGCAAATTTCAATTCTTTCTTGTCAATCTATGTGAAAATCACAAGCACGTTCAAAGTTCTGATGAACTGGGATTTAAATGTGAATACTCTTTTTAAAAAAAAATTGTAAAATTCCCCAAAGAGAATCACAAAAGTGTGATCAGTGCTGCATTTTAACAAAATTAAAGATCCTGAGGAATCCAAGCCACAAATCTCCTGGTTACTCACTGGAAAAAGGGACTTCATAAGAAATCTGAGAGGATGAGCTCACCGAAGTGGTAATTATTTCAAGTTTTGTTAATACACACTTCAATAATTACATTTTTTAAAACAACAGTTATATACTCGCACCTCACTTCTGTCTTTCCAAACTTGAGAGACAGTCAAAATTTTAATAAAGAATCATTTCACTTGTAAGCAATATTAAAATGTTCATCTTCCTACCTATTAGAGGGGCAGATTGATTCCACTATATATGTGACCATTTATGTTCTAACATTCACGAACACTATTCTACAACTAAGAAACTAAGATAACAAATAATAAATACAAAATAAGATACTCTACCCAAAATATATTTTGATCCAAGCTGCCTTAGATTCTGAAACTGGAAGTATATATAAAGGATTGCTATACAGCGCGTGATTGTCAGGATTATGATGTCACTGCTCAGAACGTCCTGTTTGAAATAAAGATGGCTTTAGTTGGCTCTTATATTAAAACCCAATGAAAGTTTAACAATTAGAAGTACCATAAATTTAAATTATTGAAGCTGTAGAAGTGTTAACGCCAAGCATTCCTAGTCCACCAAGTGTCTCAATTTGATTAAGGGCTCAATTTAACAAAGACCTGCTGTGTCACAATGTCTACTAACTACTTATGGCTGTACACATCAAAAATGGGGAAATTATGCAGACATTCCTTTCCATGGTGGCTAGCATGAGGAGAATTACTTCATTTCTAACATTTTAGGCCATTTTCCTCCCTTTGCCCTTATTCTATGAGAAAAATCTGCATTTTAAGAGTAGTTTCAGGGTTAAGTAGTAGATTAACTATTTCAAAATAAATTTAACTTCTTACTTCTTCAAGTTTTGGGCATTCATAATTCCAGCCACAGATCTTATCATTGCCAGTGAACATCTTCATGGACATCATACAGATGGTGAGAGTCACAGTCCCCACAATGACTTCCCATGGATGAGAGGCTACAAAAAGGCCATGCATTCGAAAGAGTCTTGACAGCATTTTCAAGTTTGTTTTTCTACACCTAGAACATGCAACAAAAGAAAATTTAGTATAATTAAGTTCAAAAAATGGAAAAAGAATGAGCATGGTATAATTTCCTCCAAGCTACTACTTCTCATCAAGTCTGTATGTTTTAAGACACTAAGGAATCTCACCTCCATCTCCAAATATGTATTTGCCTCGCCTGTTCTGAAAACATCTTCTAATCTATCTGTTTCTCCAGATTCCCCAAAACCTGAAAAAAGTCAGCTTCCCACCTTGCCAGCAAGCACTCCATTGCCTTTTTTCTCAAAGAGATCTACTCAAAGCCCCCGGATTTCTTCTTTTCCAATCTCACCTTTGTACTCTTCCATCCACTGAAACCCATTTACAAATTTTACCAACCTCTTACCTCTGGCCAGTTCTACTCTATCCTTGTTCTCTTTGACGATCTGACCTCCGCCCTTGTTACAGTCAACTGCTTCATCCGCCACATACTCTCCTCAATGGCCTTCAGTAACTTTGAACTCTCCAGATGGTGCCTATATTTTAGGTTTTTGTGCTAGCAATGGTTGGAATTGGTGTTAAAAAACACTGGTGTTTGAGCTACACTACATCATCTAACCATGTGTAATAAATGCTACTGTGATCAAAATGCAACCTGCCATTCCATGTTAGCACTGCCGCTAGTGGTACTGTAGCAGTGGGAGATTTTTCACAACAACCTTAGTGTAGATGAGGCCTCAAGTTCTTATCTCAATGACCTTTCTTTCAATATTTCTTCAGGGGGAATTGCCTCTTCACTTAGAATCTCAACAAGCATATTTGACTACTCTTCTACTCTCCATTTGGTTGCCCTCATTCACTCCAAATAGTTTCAACTACTATATTACCTTTATACTCATCACTACTAAATCTACCTCTCTATCCTGATTTTTCACCCTCTCTCCATTTCTGCATCTCCATCAGCAGCTCAAACATCCCTTGGACACCTTATTGACACCTCAAATCAGGGTATTTTTCCTCCTCACCCTCCTCCTCTGGCTCAGTTCTCTACCAATGTTGACAACACGCACCATCCAACTGAAGCCATTTTGACTTTTCTTTCTTTCCTCCTCTGTATTCAGGCCCTTACCAAATAGTGCACCTTCCTTCTCTATAAATCCCACTAAAAATCTATTCTATCTTTTAATTCTTCCTGTTAAAACCTTAATCATCTTCAACTCAGCTACACTAATTCCCCCTCTGGCCTACCTGCCTCTCATCACGCCCACCACTTCAAACCATCCAAATTGCTGCTGTGAAGGTTATTTTCCGCTCATACTACTCTGACTCTTGTCTTCTCCACATCTCTCAATATCCATTACTAGCTTCCAAACCAAATTCAAGGCACTATTTCTTCATCTAAAAATATTAATCCCCTTCCACAACCAATGTTCTGCCCAAGCTTCTCCAGTATCTTTTACCTCTGTCACAAACTTCCTTTTCAGTGCTGCCTTTCATCATCCCATTATTCTTTTAACACGCCTAGTTAACATTCACCAAGAGGCCTCCCTATCCTCCAAAAGACTCACCTATTCTGTAAATCCTTCAACTATGAAAACCACATCACACCTTCTTTCCTGTTTATTACTTTTGGATTCTAAACTCTTCAGAGATGTTTACCCCCCTTTAAGGCTACGCAGTTAGAACCAGAATTTCATTGCACCGTAGGGTTGTTATTGTAACAAGTACTACTGGAGTTTGTGGCTTATTTTTCCATGACATGAAATCAATTAATTTTAAATATCTAAGATGAATTTTTAAAAAATATTTGATACCTTAAAGTTAATCAGTACTTAGATCACTAGGCCAGGGAACATCTTTTCATTATGTGACTTTGGGGATTGTGGATTGGGGCCTCTATGCATTTCCATAACAGAAACGATTTAAAAAAAACCACCCACATTAACAGAAATTAGAAGTAGCAACTCTCCCCCTCCAGGGAAGTGACATGCCTTCTTCTCAACCCACATCTCCTCAGACACCAGAAATGCTGCAGTCACTCAACAGGAAGGCATAAACCAGCCTGCAAAAAGGCTTAACTGCAGGCTGAAGAGGTGAGGGCCTCATTAGCTGGCAGAGTCTTTTTCTGTCCAAGTGCACCTCCTTAATCACAGGGGTGGGTTCTAGCACCAAAATATTTTTCTTCATCCTCCTGCATAGACGGAGGACTTTGGAGCATTTTTCTGAGAGTTAAGAATTGTTAATTATACATGAGCTCTGCCTGTATTTATATATCCATGTTTATATATCCAAGAATTCTTTGAGGGGTCAGCAAACTGGACAAGGAGCATGTCCCTTCCTCTAGCTTCTCTCTTCCATTTCCCTTCAACTGAACCCATGCTGGCCTTTATAATTATTTAGGGTGTGATCCACAAAGAATATAGGCATTCCAATGCTGAGCATCATGGCACCTAATATTTAGGTGCCTAGAAAATCACAGGAACAACACTGAGATCCAAAAAGCCACTCTAGGCGCATAGGCTCCCTACACAATGAAAGGGGAGAGAGAGAGATGTCTTAGAATACAATCCAAAAAAGCCTGAGGCAAGGCAAAGAGCCACCTAAGTTAGCCAATAGCAAGAGGGGTGCAAAGCCCTGACCCTCTCTCACAGATAAGTGTCTAAGTCTGGGCTGTAGAGAGAAGCCTATCTCTATTTAGCAATCCACCCACAGGCACATCTTTGCTGGAGTCAGGTGTGGCATTTCTTGCAGGAATGAGTTAGGTCCCTGACTCACACCATGCAAAACAGCCAGAGGAGGTGATGGTGCCTATCTTCACCCCCCACCTTCAGCATGTAGCATTTTAGCTAGTGTGGTTAAAGCATTTGTCGGTGCAGATTCAATTCCCCCTCTCTGCTAATGAGGGAGAAACAATTTGAACAGGTGTCTTCCCACCTCTCAGGAGAGTACTCTAACCACTGAGCTGTGAGCTTTCCAATGTGGAGCTCCTTCAGTTCCTCCTGTTGAAGCTGTTCCACTGTGGATAAATAATGAAAGAGTGCTTAGAGCAAGCCAGGGTCTCCCACCTCTGAGAAGGGTGCGCTAACCACCGGACTAGAGTCATTCTCTCTCTGGTGCAATTGTTTATATATTTATCCAAATGGAACAGCTTCAACAGGAATAAGGGAACCTACTGGATTGGGTATCCACCATTTGATACTTGCAATCTGGCTAATTATGTTTCAGATTGCATTTTCTGGTTAAGAGTACTTCTTCCCAACCCCCAATTACCTTCTAGGTTTTGGGGAGACTACAGTAGGGTTTTTTTGTTTGTATTAGTTGACTTGTGTTTTTAATACATGGCAAAGGCACTGAGAATCTCTCTCATATTTTGCACAGGTGCTCTTTAATGTCTTGTATAAATTTAAATAATAACTGATACTTTATTCTTTGTAGATTATTGCATCTGGTCACTACTTCATAGACTGATGAGTAGCAGAACTGTTCCCCATGATTTCAAGAAAATCAAGCTTCTGCAATAATCCATTAAATAAACTTCTAGTTCTGGAAAACTATAGGTATGAAACTAGTTTAAATCAAATAAATGTAATAATTCTGTAGAGACTATTGATGAGATTTGAGAACTTTGTAGAGATTTTTTGCAGTTCTGGTTTTCAGAAGGTGGGATTTAAAACCCTGTATTTGTTGGCTTAATTGTTTGTCAAGAAGCCTTGATTGTGTTGAGAATAGTAAAGTTGGCTATGGGTGAACAGGGCAGGCAGGAAGGTGATAGATTTCTAAGGTTTCTATTTTTCAACACCATCTAAAAATATAGTAGAAACCAAGAAAACTCAAACTTGAAATTTATAGTAAACATTAGTGTAGCTTCTTATTTTTAAAATCATGTCTTCTTAATTTCAAAAGACAAATCAGTGTAACTATGCAAATTTCTAAAAGCAAATTAATAATGTAATTCAATATCTTGACACCATCTAAAATGTCAATTATTTTAAATGAAGATATAACAAGTAGCATATTTTAATGAATGCTGCTGCATTCAGCCATGTTAGAGCTCCATTAGCTAACAATGCCGTGACAAGATGTCTTTAGGTTAGGAACAGGAGCCCATCACTGGCTGATGCAATCACTTTTATGCAGAGTTGCCAATAAGGCACCTTGTGTTTATCATCAATAATTAATTGTACAACAGTAGCAAATACTAGATATTTTGCATAATTTATTTTCCCAGTCAAATAAATAATTTCATTTTTTTTCTTAACAGATTTTAGTGAGATCACTTACATTTGATAACGCAAACACCTGTTTAGGCTTTGCTCTTAAGTGTCTGAAATAGCATCTGAAGTGAAATTTGCTTTGGAAAACCTTTCATTAATGTCACTGAGCATTAATTTGCTCAGAACAGTCAAAGTGCTTTAAAATATTGATGGGAATGAGGTTCAGGAATGTTGCTAGCCTTGATTACAATGGAGAACAGAGGTGAAATCTTGACTGTTAAAGCAACTAAGAATTTTGCCATTGATTTCAGTGGTGCAAGGATTCCACCCCAGCAGCCTTGAGATCACAATATTCTGCAACATTTTTACTATTTAATAGAAAAATTATAATAGCATCAAATTATTCTGGCCATTTCAAACTCATTGCTACCATTAAGAAGTTCCTATGTTTATTTTGAATTTTTAATTACAAATACATCTTGCTTGTTATAAGGGAAGCTATACAACTATTGCAAACACTTTATAGAATGGCATAATAAGAATATTGCTTTACAATGTAGTATAGACACTCATATGAACAGAAAGGTGGAAACTAAGAGAAGATGAAGTAGAACAAAAGAAAAAATAGCAGTAAAAATGTAAGAAAATGTTCTGGCAGCAAGTCGAATGATGCATTAATGGTGAGGCATGTTTTCCTTTTACAAAAGCCGTGTTGACTCTTCCCCAGCAAAATTTTACGGTTGTTTCAACCAATTTGCCTGGTACTGAAGTTAGGCTTACCAGCTTGTGATTGCCTCTGGCACCTTTTTTAAAAATCGGAGTTACATTAGCTATCCTCCAGTCATCCGGTACAGAGGCTGATTTAAGTGATAAGATTTCATACCACAGTTAGTATTTCTGCAATTTCATATTTGAGTTCCTTCAGAACTCTTGTGTGAATACCATCTGATTCTTACTGTTTATCAATTTGTTCCAAAACCTCCTCTATTGATACTTCAATCTGGGACAGTTCCTCAGATTTGACATTTAAAAAGAATAGCTCATGTGGTGGGAATCTCCCCCACATCCTCTGAAATAAAGATCAATGCAAAGAATTCATTTTGCTTCTCTGCAACAGCCTTTTCTTCCTTGAGTGCTCCTTTAGCACCTCAGTCAAGTCGTATCTGCCTGTTTGGCAAGTTTCCTGCCTCTGAAGTACTCAAATTTGTTGCTGTTCATTTTTGTGTCTCATGATAGTTGCTCTTCAAATTCTTTTTTGGCCTGTTTAACTATACTTTTATACTTGGCTTGCCAAGAGTTTATGTTCCTTTCTATTTTTCTCAGTAGGATTTGACTTCCAATTTTTATAAGTTGCCTTTTTGCCTCTAACCACCTCTTTTACTTATTTACCCAGAGTGGCATTTTTTGGTCCTCTATTTTTTTTCATTCTGGGGCCTCTATTAATTAATTAATTTGAGCCTCTATTATGGTGTTTTCAACAAGTTTCCAAACAGCTTGCGGGCATTTCTCTCTTGTGACTTTTCCTTTTATTTTCCATTTAACTAGCCTTCTCACTTCTGTGTAGCTCCTCTTTTGAAATTAAACTCTACTGTAGTGGGCTTCTTTGGTATCCCCTCTCCCCCCTATAAATATTAAATTTAATTACATTATGGTCACTATTACCGACTGGTTTAGCTACATTCACCTCTTTTTTTTTTTTTTTTTTAAGCGCCATCCTGGGGCCTGCATATAAGATGGACACACTGTGTTTGATACAGTTTCTGAGTGGAAGGCCTCCTACCTTTCAAGAATGATGTAAACAGTACAGTTGCAACACCAACTAATTCCGCCATAGGTTCATGCTCTTCCAAAAATGCAACTGAAGCTAACTGTCCCAAAGCATAAAAAGTGCTAGGCATTTGTTGTGGCATTACAAGGATATAATTTTCTATTAATCCCATTGTTCTGACATTGAGCAATATGATCTGGTTATCTTTAAAACTGTCATACACTGAGTAATCTCACAAGCCTCAGGGCAACTCTCTGCAGTACTCTAGCCCTTGCTATTTGACTTGGAAGGAACTAATTTTATTATGAGAAAGCCTTTGGTACAACTCATTGAGTTACAGTGACAATTTTCCCAAGGAAATCCTGTCCAGTCCTTAGCTAAAAAGATGGTTGACACAATATGGATGTCTTCAGCTTGGGTCCCCACAGTCAGTAAAAAAAAAAAAAAATGTATCACCGAGTTTTAGGGGCAGCCCATCAATTTTAAGTATACAAAAATTCCTTGTAGCCAGCCATACTCATTAAACAGGCACAATGCAGAGAAACGTTATTTGATGTGTTGGGAATTAATACAGATGCGGGGTGGAGGTTCCTCACAGTGCCACCATCTCAGTGTACAAAGATGTTATTTATCTTACTGCAGAAACCTACAGCCGGGAAAGCAGGTGCCGCCCAAGGGCTCCACCTTAGCTCCGTGCGCGCTGCATTTCTGGATCCCATGATGCGCTCCCGTGAGAGGGTCCCTCGGGGTAAGCAACGGGAACCCGCACTGGGGCGGAGTCAAACAGGGGCTCGCTGTACAGGCAGCGGGGGTGATGCCTGGGCACAGGCGCGTATCGGCGACACGATTTCCCCATTTCTACACCCCCCGCCCCCCAAACACAACAAACGGCGTGAAGGTGCCTGGGTTTGGGAGCTGGCCCGAGCCCCCGCCGCGCAAGCAGGGCCAGTGCGTCAGCGGCACGTTATGGCCTCTCCCCCCGGCCCCGAAGCCAGGACACCTCTCTCCGCCCGGCTACTTAGAACGATCGCGCCTCAGGGGCCCCGGTTGTGACCTTCCCTGCGGCGCTGCCCAGGGCACGGCAGCGCGCCGGAGGGCGGAGCGGGCATGGAGGAGCGAGCAGCTGCCATCCACGTCCCTCTGGCAGTGGCCACGGGTGTATCCACCCCATTATCCAGCCGCTCCAGACTCCGCGGGGGGCAAACACTAGCAGGGACAGGACCCACTCACCGCAGCCGCTCTTTCAGGACCTTTAAATCAGGCCCAGGAGGTCCCGGTCCCCCGGCGCGGAAGGACCAGTGTCGTAAAAAGGCCAGTCCTCACCCCGCCTGATGGAAATTCTGACCCTTCTCCCCGGTCCCCACTCACCGCTGGACGTGCCTGAAGGAGCTCGCGCTTGCAGCTGCTGCCCTCCTCTTTCCTCTCGCGCGCAGCGCCGCAGCAGACTGAGAAAGCCGCGCACGCAGCGACAAGGACAACCCCAGCGCGCGACACCCGGACCGCCGCCATCGCCCGATCGCACAACCAATGGCGGGCGCCCGACTCGACGCGTCACTCGCCCGTTGCCTTAGTAACCAGCCAGCGAAGCCGCACAGCGCGAGACGGATCAGGAGGGGAGACCGCACCATCTCGCCACGGGCCGACAGCCAATGGGCCGTTGTGCTGCCCCTGAAGTACTTTCTCATTGGTCGGCAGACTGGGGTTTATTTGCATATGGCCATCAAGTGAGCGACTGCGACTGGCTGTCCAGACCGGTAGAGCTCCTACCGTGGTGCAGGGAGGCGGGGCTATCTCCCTCCTGCTGTGGGGAGAGCGGAGGGCGGGGCTCCTCTCCCATTCCTTCCCCACCTGGGTCCCGCTTCCCCCGGCCTGAATAACGCCCCCCCCCGCGCGCACCTGCCCGGGCACCGCTGCCCCGTGCCAGGCTGAGCAGCGCCGCCGTGCTGGGAGTGTGGTGCCGCCCCGAGCCAGGCTTGGGCCCCACCCGCGCGCGGCTCTGCCGGAGCGGTCTGGCCTGGCCTCGTCCCGGCGTGTAACGGGCTGTCGGGGCAAACTCCAGCGCGGCCACGCGGCCACGAGTCCGCACCGACCTTGCATCAGCCCCTCAGGCCGCCGGTGCCGAGGTGACCTGGCCATGGGGGTCTGCTTCGCGGGCTTCTGCCAGTCGCCTCGCGGTCCCACATCGCTGTGCCGCCATTCGAGCATCAGGCTTGGCCTAGCATACCGGGCGTCTGCTGCTCGAGCTAATGCCCACTTCCTCCACTGAGCCGTGCGCTCTCCGCCCCGCTGGCGCTCTCCCCCAGGGGAGCCAGTGCAGGCTACTCGGGCTAGGCTGCGCAGTCAGTTACAACATGCTGGTCTATATCTTCTGCCTCTGACTTGCATACCCCCTTTGAGGCAGGAGCTTAAATGTTGCCATTCTGGATGACCCCAGTGGTCGGTCCAGTACAGTTTGCTGCCCCTGATAGTATCGGCTGCTAGATGGCTAATGGCAAGATGCAAGAAACCCCATAATGGACAATTATGGAATACTGTCCCTGAAGAAAAGGTTTTGTCTGGCTCTAATAGTGTTTGGTGTATGCCTTGAAGTATGCAATAGGATTTTCAAAAAAAATTTATCTGATGTAACTGTGGATATTCTCAATACCCATATAACTGTCTTATCTCTTAGAATCTTACTAAAATCTTGTCCTCTATGATATCTTGTGGCAATCAATTGAACAGGTTAACTGTGTTGTATAAAAAGTATTTTATGAGTTTTACATTTGTTGCCTTTCATGATCTTGCACTAAGAGGGCAAACAGGGATGCCAGATAAACCTGATCTTTCACATTCTTTTTCTTGTATACTTCTGTCATGTCTTTTTGGATTTGTCTCCTCCATGAATTAAACAGTCCTATTGTTTTCAGTCTCTTCTCAGACAGAAATCACCCATCTCTGAACCCCACTTCTGTTTTTGTTACGTGTTTTGAGATACAATGTTTCCTAAGGATGCCCATTGCTGCCTCATTCATTACAGCATTGAAATTGTTGGTCATTGTTTCTACATCTTCCTCTAGAGCAAGCAGCAGCGCAAATTTTCCGCTGATCATTGCTTGGAATTGCTCTGCAATGTTTCAGTCTCTGAGTCTTTCTAAGTCAAACTTCTGGTGAACTTTGGCCTGACGATTTTCCTTAGCCGCAGCTGAAAATTTAGCATCACAAGGTGGTGATCACTTCCAATATCAGCACCAGGGAAGCTCCTTGTTTTAGCTCTGTTAATCTCAGAACTAAATCGGTTTTGCCAGTCGATCTGGCTGTGACATAGACCATTAGGTGCGTGCCATGTTGATCGTCTAGATGCTTTATGTGTTCCTAATGTGTTTGCAAGAACCAGATTGTTATAGGTGGCAAACTCCAAAAGTCTCAATCCTCTCTCATTGGTTACCGCATTACAGAAAGGGCACAATAATCTTTCCAATCTGTCTGTGCTTTAGTACCCACGTTAGCATTCCAATCTCCTTGTACAATCAGGAGATCTTTCTTGTGTACCTTATCGATGATGTCTTGGAGCTGATTGTAAAAATTTTCAATTTGCTCGTCATAGTCTGTTGTAGGGGCATAGACTTGTACCACTGTGATATTAAATGGTACTGCCTTTAGATGGATGGAAATAAGCCTGCTGGACATTGGGCTGCATCCTAATACTGAATTCTTGATATCTTTATGCACAAGAAATCCTACGCCATTGACATGTTTGTCCTCTCCATTGTAATGGAGTATATGGCCTTCTTCTGTTAGTACCTCTCCAAAGTTCTTCCATCTGACCTCAGAGATTCCTAGGAGGTACCAGGTGTACGTGAGTTCTTTGAACCTCCCTATTTGTCTCAATGTCCTTACATTCCATGTGTCTATGGTGATGTTATCTCTTCCACGGATTCTCTTTGTTGGGGTTACACCAATAGCATACTTGTCGCGTCTGCCCGGGTGGGAAACGGATGGCACCGTCATTATTAACCTGGGCTGCGATCAATCCGGTATGGAAATCGTTGACTTGCTCATCATATGGTGCGTCTTGGGCAGATGTCTAACCTGGCAGAGCCCATCCCTCTCCAGGCAGCCCCCTTTTAGTCGCCTCTTACGACATGCAGGAGGAGCAGTGGGCCTATTCTGTCCCCGGACTCACAGGGGACAGATGGGAAACATCGTAAAAAGACAAAACCATGGGTCACAAATGAAATACTACAAATGTGTGACATTAGAAGAGAACTTAAGAGAGACAAGAATAGCACGGAGGGAGCTGATAAATCAGAGCGATTGGCAGAAAGATCGAGAAAGGAATGAAGGTGGCCAAGGAGATATGGACTGAAAAACAATTCTCTAAAATTGAAGAGTATCAATAATAAAAATAGCAAACGAGCCTTCCAGGTTGTAAAAGACTTGACGAAGAAAAGATGGACCAAAGCTAACGCAATTCAAGACAAAGAAGGGAACAGTCTTACAGAAGAAAGGGACATCATCAATAGGTGGACAAACTACTGCTCTGATCTATACAACCACCAGACAAATGGAGATCCTAGTGTCTTAGACAGCCCAGATTCAATAGAGAAGGATGACTTTCCAATACTGCGTGAAGAAGTGGACACAGCTGTGAAATCGCTCAAGAATGGAAAGGCTACAGGTATTGACAACATCCCAGCCAAATTGATGAAATTCCGAGGATAAATGGTAATAGATGTACTCACCAAGATCTGCAACAAGATCTGGCAGACCAGTGAATGGCCCTCCATGTGGACACAATCACTAATCATCACTCTGCCAAAGAAAGGCAACCTGCAATTGTGTCAAAATTACCGGACCATGAGCTTAATTAGCCATCGTAGCAAAGTGATGTTGAAAGTCATATTGAACAGATTGAAGCCACAAGCAGAGAATATCATCGCTGAAGAACAGGCTGGCTTTTATGCTGGAAGAAGTACCACAGAGCAGATTTTCAACCTTCGTGTTCTATGTGAGAAGTACTTACACCACCAGCAGGACATCTACCACATCTTTGTTGACTTCAAAATGGCGTTTGACAGAGTATGGCACAAAGCTCTCTGGGCAGCCATGAAGAAGTACAATGTTGGTCGTAAGCTTATTCTTACTATTAAACAACTGTATGCCAAGGCCAGCAGTGCAGTTCTCATCAATGGCACAATAGGAGAGTGGTTTCGCACCACTGTTGGAGTCTGGCAAGGCTGCCTTCTTTCATCCACACTGTTCAGCATCTACTTGGAGCGCATAATGACACATGCCCTAGAAGATCACATATGCACAGTCAGCATTGGGGGGGCAAACAATCTCAAATCTTCGATTCGCTGATGACATTGATGGCCTGGCAGGCAGCGAAGATGAACTTGCCAACCTTGTGAAACAATTGGATGAAACCTCCACAAAATATGGCATGGAAATCAGTGCAGAGAAAACCAAGCTGATGACAAACGTGATGGGATCAGCTCACATATCACTGAGAAGAAGAGGTAGACAGAAGAAGAGATGGATTGACAACATAAAAGAGTGGACAGGAATGGACTTCCTGGAGACTCAAGCACTGACACACAATCGTCCGGGGTGGAGACGGTTGATTGCTCATCAATGATGGTTCCCCAACGACCAATGCAGTCATGGGAGTGATGATGATGATGATGTTTTGAGATAAGATGATCAGCTGGGTGAGGGCATACCAATGATTTATATAATGATATATTTTCAGGGTTATTTTCTATCTCATTTCTTATGCAGTCTAACATTGTTTGCCATTTGTTCTTGTTGTTGTCCTCTGCTGTGCATTGAAAAAAAAGGTTTTCATTGTATTGTCACTGATAAGCATGACTTTTTCCTGAGGGGTTACAGTTACTTTAGAATACAGCAGTGTGTATTAGTAGTTCAGATTATTCCTCCCAGTGCATTACCTTGCCTTTGTCAGCAATTAATTTAATCTTCCATCATGTTGTCCATTCACCTAGCTCTTTTAGGCCCCACTAACATTCTTCTGTCTTCTCTAGTCTTGATTTATCTAAATTTTACCATTTTATGGGTCAACTTCTCTTCCATGTCATAAATAAATACATTAAGCACCAGCCCCTGGATAGGACCTTGAGGATCCCCTACTGTTAAACTTTTGCCATACTTAAAATGGACCATTCCTTGTCTTTGTTTTCTATCTTCTCAACAGTTTCTGACTCGTGACAGTTCTTTGCTTCTATGTGAAAAGTTAATTTTGTTAATAGTGTCTTATGAGAGAGTGTTAAAAACTGTTCAATAAATTATATCAAATTATATAAAAACTGTCCAACAATCTATTTGCTGATTTGTTGACAGGCTCAAAGAATTCTAATAGATTAGAAAAATATTATTTTTCCATAGAGAAGCTGTGCTGGTTTGTTCCTTCCATATCATATTCATGTGGGTGTTTTATAATAATATTTCTAATTATAATTTCAACCAAATGAAGTAAGGCTCACTTGTCTATAATTCCTACGATCACCTCTAGATATATTTGTAAAGATAGGCATGACATTTGTTAACCTCCAACAGAGCAGCTAATAGTAACTTCACTTCATACTTAAGTTCTTTCAGAACACTTACATCCATTCCTGGTAC